GGAATTGAACTGTGATCTCTTGGTTCATAAGAGGATGCTCAACCACTGAGCCATGCCGGCCGGGCCTAACTCTTGCATCTGTGCTAGCTTTACCCTCAGGACAGTACTAAGCACAGCCTCTTGCTGGTCTATGCATACCTGCTCCTCTTCAAAGACATGGTCCCTGTCTCGGCCCAGGCCAGCATCCCCTCTGCTTCCTGTCCCTCTCCCATCCAACCTCCACACTGTGACCAGTTTGATCTTTCTAAATGACGGATCTAATCCAGTCGCTTCCTGTTTACTGTATAGGACTCCCTCACTCCCTCAGCCTAAAGAATAAAGTCTCTATCAGCACAGGATTGAGACTCAGGCCAGTTTCTTCTCCTGGCCTCATTACCATCATACCACCCAATTCAGTCGCCCACCCGGTCCCCGCTGTCAGCATTAACCTCTCTCTCTGGTTGGATGATCAGTAAAGGGCTTTAACAGATGGAGGCACCAGCATCGAGACTGAGCCTGCATGTGGGAACCTCAATAAAATATAGACTCCACTGAATAATAAGGCAGCCGTATTTGTCCATTAATTGTAACAATTCTATTAAAAAACCAGAAAGACAGGAGAGGTTAAAAGTGAAATAAGTCCTAGCTGGTTGCTCAATGGTTAGAGCACTGGCCCACGGACCAAAGGGTCCCGGGTTTGATTTTGGTCAAGGGCACATACCTCGGTTGCAGGCTCGCCCCTGGCCCTGTCAGGATGTGTGTGGGAGGCAACCAATCGATGTGTCTCTCTCACATCGATGTTTTTCTCTCTGTCTCACCCCCTCCCTTCCACTCTCTCTAAAAATCAATGGAAAATACCCTCGCGTGAGGATTCACAACAATAAAACAATGACATAAGATGAACGTATGAAAATGAACTGGAAACCTAGAGGAAATGGGCGATTTCCTAGTAAAACTAAAACACGAGGAAACTGGACCCTAAAATAAGGGCAATACAATCAGATGAATTCCACATCCAGGGACCTCTCCCCCCCACACACACTGGTTCTCCTCTCACTGTTTTGGGGTTTCCCTCTCCCAGGATGGAGAGCAGGGACAGGACTGTTCAGCAGCTCCCCTAAGATTCAACCCCACACACGTCTTCATCTCCCCGAGCTGAGCCTGCCCAGTGAGAACATCGTACTGGAGGGAGTCTCATGGATTTCCCCGCCCTTTTTATTGAATTTATTGGGCTGACACTGGTTGACAAAATTATACCGGTTCCAGGTGCACAGTTTCACAGCTCGTCACCTGTACACTGCATTGGTGTTCACCACCCCAAGTCAAGTCTCCTTCCATCACCACTTATCCCCTCATACCCTCCTCTACCTCCCTCTGCTCCCCCTCCCCCTGGCAATCCCCACACTGTTGTTCGTGCCCATCGTTGTTTTCCTTTTGATGATTTCACCCAGATGTGGGATCTGATGAACAAAGTGAACTGACAAGCAAAACAGAGACAGGCTCACAGACAGAGAGCAGGCTGACAGCTGTGACGGCAGCGAGCTGGGTGGGGCGGGTGGAGGGATTGAGCACAAAGTCTCTGGGATTATTAATTCTGATATGTCAGCTCGGGCTTTTTCGATTGCTAGCAACTGGACACACTAACGGAAGTGAGAGAAATTCACAGTGTTTAAAGAGGTAGCAATAAATGACGACTTGCAAGGGGTTAAGTTGAAGAGTGGGATAGGACCTGGCAGGCCTGGGTTCTCACACGCTTGCAGTGGAACCTGGTCCCTCTCCAATCTCCATCCTGCTAAGTGCCTGGGGGGGAGGGTGCTGTTCACAGGCACAGCCTCTCCCCCCACATGGAGAGTGTTCAGCAACGCTGGGCTGACCCCCACTCACCGGGAAGGGGGTCTCCTTCCCTTGGGATCCATGAAAAGTCACAGTTTTAAAATGCCAGTTGGGCCCAGTCAGGGTGGCTCAGTGGTTGAGCGTTGACGTATGAACCAGGAGGTCACGGTTCGATTCCCGGTCAGGGCACATGCCTGGGTTGTGAGTTTGATCCCCAGTGGGGTGTGTGCAGGAGGCAGCCGATCCATGATTCTGTCTCATCATTGATGTTTCTCTCCCTCCCTCCCTCTCTGAAATCAATTAAGAAAATATTTTAAAAAATTAAATGCCAGTTGGGTACTGAAATATCAGGGGAATGACTTGGTAAAGTATATGATTGTCTAACCACCACACTGTACACCTGAAACTAATACAAAATAAAACTGAATGAAAAAAATAAGTAAAAATAAGAATATCAAACATTCCCTTTGGCCAGGTGTGGGTCACATTCTCATCCTGGAACCCATCAGAGCTGTTCAGACTGGAAGCAGATGAGGAATTCCCACGGGAAAGCGGAGGTGCTGGATTTGGGCATGAGAACAGCTTGTGGGTTGAGAAAAGCAGATTCCACACCACCAATGGCCCACTGCGGAGGTATGGAATCTGAGGCCCAAGAAGGAAGGGGTTCACTTAGGGCCAGGAGCTCTCTGCTTTCCTCCCACAATGGCAAGTAGCAACTGCACTTGCTGAAAAGGCAACGTTGTTGTTCGTGGTACACTCAAAGCTTCTGTCTTTGGAAAAGAGATACATTAAAAATCACAACGTATTTTGGATTCAGATAATGTTTTTGTTTAATAAACAGCAAGAACCCAAAATAATTTTGTACAATGTATCCTGACCAAAAGAAGGCTTTAACCTATCTGAATAGCCTTTCTCTGTGAGATCAAGGAATTAAATTGATATAATGAAGGGCTATGGGAACAACTTGGTTTTCCTGGTCTGCTACCACGGCTCTTGCCAGAAGCTGGGAACTTCATAGAAATTCCTCTCCCTGTACCCGATTAGGATTATGTTTTTCCAGTGAAATGAACGTGTGTGAGACCTGGAAAGAAGGGAAGTGGAGGCCAGTAGTCTGATGGTTATGGCGATCAGACGTGAAGATGCTGAGGTGCCTGGTGTACCCCAGGTTTTTCTCAATTGCCTTCACTCCATATCCGGCTCATCCTGATGACTGACCCCGGTGACCCATGTGAGTGCAAGTCAGGTACTGGGCATCAGGTCTACTGAGGCTGTGGCTTCCACACACCTTTCCCCGTCAATCTTCACAACCACTTTGGCAAATAGATACACAGCAACCCTCCGGTTTCTCAAGCTCCAAGCTGTCCACCACCGCCATGCTTAGCACAGTTCCTGATTCCTTGATGGCTCCCTCTAGGCCAGCGGTTCTCAACCTGTGGGTCGCGACCCCTTTAGCAGTCGAACAACCCTTTCACAGGGGTCGCCTAAGACCCTCCTGCATATCAGATATTTACGTGACGATGCATAACAGTAGCAACATTACAGTTATGAAGTAGCAACGAAAATAATTTTATGGTTGGGTCACAACGTGAAGAACTGTATTAAAGGGTCACGGCATTAGGAAGGTTGAGAGCCACTGCTCTAGGCCTTTCCTTCAGTGTCACACACCTGTGTAAACTTGATTCCTGCATTAAGCCACTCGTTTCCGTAACACTTGTCTTGGCTGTTTTCCCCATTGAATACAAACTGAATCACCACCGCCACTCACCCCCTTTATTCTTCTTGAAAAGATGGAAATGTCAGAAAGAGACCTGCTTCTGATGTAGAACATTGTGTGTGTGTGTCGGGGGCGGGGGGGTCTAGGGCTGCTGTTATTGTTGTTGCATCTATTTCCATCACCATACCCTGGGAAGCAACCCAATTCCGTCGTCAGTCTCAAGGTCAGGAAGGATAGGTACGCGCAGAGCTAAGCAGGGAGAAACCATTATCTGATGGAAGCCGTATCCATTCATTCTGAAGGAAACGTATGGATTGTGACCCTGTTTGACCTTGTGGCCAAGGGTTTGAGGTAGAGAGACATACTTGTAATCCCTGGGGTTCTTTTGTTATGTCTCAACCGTGGTCTCAGGATGATGGCTGTGGAGGCTGTATGGCCATTTCAGGATCTTTCATTGCTTTCAGTATGACCTACCATATTTTATTAAGTTCTTTGTGCCTTGGTTTTGTAGAAATTTGATAAACCCAAGACAATGCTATTGTTCTGTACTGAAAGGCTACAAGTCATACATTTTATACATTTTTAAATTGATTTCAGAGAAACATTGACGTGAGAAACATTGATTGGTTGCCTCCTGCATGTGCCCTGACCGGGGATCGAACCCACAACCTGTGTATGTGCCCTGACCTGGAATCAAACCGACTACCTTTTGGTGAAAGGGACGATGCTCCAACCCACTGAGCCACACCAGCCAAGGTACAAGTCATATTTCTTAATGTATTTTCAGCATAAGTAAAATACCTTTATTCTGTAAACTATGGCAAATGTCATTGCAAGAAATGAGATTCCAGGAAGAAATTCTAACACAAGCAACTCATCAGATTACTCTGAAATTTTATTAATGCCTTCAGTTTGTGCATCATTCAAAACAAGATATGTGCTTTTAAAAGCATTCTTATACATAAACAGATCAAGGGACTGTTGAGGAATTTATCCCTAAAACATGCACATCAGTTCTTTTCAGTTGTGTACAAGAAAGGGAAGTAACTTGTAAGTCTTTTTCTTTGG